TACAAGCGCAATATAAAGTAGCTGATGTTACTCAATTGTTTTTTCCTATAACTGTCTCAGACTAAAGATCATGTTGGTTGTGGATCTTCCAGCTCTGAATCCACTCTGGCTATTGGGTAGCATGTGCTCTGATAAGGTCTTCATTTAATTCAATAGGATTTTTTTCAAGAAATTTCCCAGCACCGGACAACAGTGAGATTCCACAATGGCTGCCACAATCACACAGTTCTCCTTTCTTTTAGTATATAGTGATGGTAAGAGTATCTTTGAAGTCTAAGAATATTTTTTTTCTCTCAGCAAGCAATGAAGAGCTTCAAGACTTCTCTTTTTAAGTTGTGTCCACCATATTTCAGGATATCTGTTCATAAGCTGTCCGGTATAGGGGCTTTCCAACTTCAATTCAATTCATTTTACAGTATTTATATAGTGCCAAGTCACAACAGAAGTTGTTTCAGGGCACTGTACAAAAACATTCATATATATTTAAAACAGTCAGTTAGTAATAATTATGTATCTAAGGAAGGCAGCAGATTGCGTTGAATCTTCACTTTGCCACAGTATCCCATCCTGAGTAAGTACAAAGGCAACAGTGGAAAGGAAAACACCCTTTTAACAGGAAGAAACCTCCAGCAGAACCAGGCTCAGGACGAGCAGCCATCTGCTTTGTTCAACTGGGTTTGAGGAGGACAAGAAGTAGAAACAGACAAACACAGAATGGCAGGTCCAGGTGTCCAAGGAAGACAAAAAAAAAAAAAAACACACATTAAGGATAAAAATAATTACAAATACAAATCAGGTAGAAATCCAAAACAGGTAGAGTAGACCAAGTAAAGACAACAGCAAAGTGAGACAATGTGGTCAATTTGTCCTCTTGCTATCTAAGCCTATAGTAGCATAACTAAGGGAGTTCAAGTTGTTTTTAGTGCTTCATCCACTTCATCAATAGTGATTGAAGTACATTGATAATTTCTCATAGATATTTTCTCTTTTGAAGTGTTCTTTCCAGCATTGAATGATGTCCTTGTTATCAGTGCACAAATTGGTTCCATCAGACATCTTTATTGCGGCAGTGGCATTGGATCTCAAACCACAGACTGCTATTAGACCATAGATGAGACACTGGGAATTGATTTTATTAGCCACCTCCTGTAGTTCTTCAATTTTATTTATCTACCATTTATCCTTCATTCTCCTGATTTCATGCTGAACCTCAGCTTTGCTTCTTTGAAGACTTGAGCACTTCTCAGTGTTCACCTGCAGGTGGATACAGAGAAGTCTTTTTGATTTGCAGTAATTCTTGCATATCCACATTGCACTCTTGGAACCAAGAGTACCATTGAGGACTAAGAGACCTAATTGGTCTTGAGTGACTCTCTTGGGGTGTCCTAGTACCTCAGATGCCAATTTATAGATTTCTCTTTCAGCCATTTCCAATGACGTTCAATGTTTTCTGAGTGTGTCGGTGGTTCAATGTCTTGCAGTGCAGCTGTAATTGCAGAGACTAGTCTTTGTTGTTGGGCCATGTTGTCTAGCTGTTTAATGTCCAGCTTTTGTGATGTTTTGGATAGCATCCTTCTTTGTAGAGTAAACTGCAGTCTAAGCAGTGACTGGACTAGGTATGGTCCATCAAGCATTCTACTCTGCAAAGTGCCTTTGTTGAGAGAACATCAGCTAGGTTTTCCTTCTGAGTCACAACATAGTCAAGTGGGTGAAAGTGCTTAAATTTTGGGTGCATCCAAGTATAGTAATTTTTATCAGATTGATAAAAGAAGGTTTTGATGATTCTCAGGTTGTGCTCCATACAAAAATTCAGCAGAAGCTCTCCATTGGTTTTCTTGCTCCACTTGCCAAACTTCCCAATGATGCCTTCATAGGTTCATGATTGTTTCCAGCTGATTGCATAAAAACTCCCAGAAGCAGCAGTTGTCAGCTGCAGGCATGTTATTAACAAACAATGTTAAAGCCTCATTGAAGGCATCCTTGTCATCTTCTATGTCTGTCATTGTGGGAGCATAGGCGCATACCGAGGTCAGCTAGCATTCATCTCCAATGGGGACTCGAAGACTCGTGATTTATTCTGAGATTCCAATAGTAGGCAGCTTTTGGACAGTCTTGTTAAAATCTGCAAATGCTGCTAAACAATGTTTGATTTTTACCTGGATTATTGAGCATGAACTTTGATGCAAATACTGCTCTTTTCTCTCTTCTAATTTTTCAATCTAGCAGATGGCATAAGATAATTTTTATTCAGTCTTTGCTCAGCAATGTGAGAGTTTCTTGGAGCACTGCTTTGTCAATCTTGTACCTCTCAAGATCATGCACTATGAGTGCTGTTCTTTGGTGGGGTCTGGTGTCACTGTCCAACATGGTTTGGATCTTCCATGTGGCTACATTGAGTTTCTTCATTTTGCATTTTGCATTTATGGGGCAGGCAGTACTGTCCCTAAATAGGCTGCCTGGTCACTCACACTGCTGCCTCAATCCTGCTGTTATTCTCTCTTCAGCTGGAATGTGACCTTCAAATCAGGGTGCTGATTTGTGGATCCAAAATTTATTTATTATTAATATTTTGGCTTTGATGTTCCTCAGGCTGTAGCAAGTTGGCCATCTGGCCTAAAACATTTGATTGTTATGCATGATGGTTAATTGTTTTGGACAGATGGTTCCCTTTTTTGCATGTGTAAAGCTAGTTTCTTTGGATTCCACAGAAGGCTAGCTTGAAACACATCAAGGAGGTGCTATTTGTGAGACAGATCCAGGTTGGCAGGCCTCAGACAGACGAAGTCTTTCGGATGGAAAATGAAACGTTTCTCCCAAAAAGAAACTTGTCCAAATTACATGATTTAACCTTTTTTCTGATTCTCTCTCTGGGCCTTCACACCTGATTCAAATACTGTGCTGATGCACAACAGATTTTGCAGATAAGTTTGTTTCCGTGGACGCTGTCTTGCCTCGTGATGCCATTTGTTGACCAACTTTGGTTCCTCCACATGCCATCTGGTGATATGCTGTTGACCTTGAGATTCTTCTGCTACAGGGCACAGAGACCACCCTACTGGCAGTATACTTGGAAGCAATTTAAATACAATAACTTGATCTATGTCATATGTGTCAAACTCAAGGCCCAGGGACCAAATGTGGCCCTTGTTGACACCTTAGCTGGCCCCCAAGATGACGATGATGTGAAATGTAAAATACTTCTATCTCTTTACTTTTTTCAATAATCTTTGAGTATAATGTTGAAAGCACAACAGAGAACATAAAATGAGACCAACCAAACTCTTGCTGAGAAACTGTAACCAAGAACGATGTTGGGTATATGGTTTGAGTTAGTGTGGTTTTTGGAATTGGCCCTTAGTTTGAAAAAGGTTTTAATTTAGGCCCCCTTTTGTAAGTGAGTTTGACACCCCTGGCCTATGTTCTATTGAGGCCATAGCTGGCAGGCACACTAACACAGAAGTTCCCCCCCCCCCTCTAACGGGGGAAGGGTGAGAGTAATGGCAACTCAGGGGTCACTCTATGCACATGCCTAATGTCAGGGATTAATTAACACAACCATTAAGCCCCCATTATACTACCGTGCACGTCCGTCCACGGAGGTACATGCGTCCGTCCGCAGAGGTACACGCGTCCGTCCGCAGAGGTACACGCATACCTTCGCTGGGCATGTCCGCGCAAAGCTCAATTTTTACGACAGTGTACGCGGTGTCACACAATAAACTGCCTGGCGACTGACTGTTTTGTATGCGACACCAATGTATTAAATTCCTCTTCTTCATCCCTGATCTGGCCTTTTCTTTTGTTTTTTTGCCAAAAGGCAAACAATATCTTCCTCCTCCATTGATGCCATGACTGAAATGGTGATAAATTAAGGAATTTGTCACGAGCGAATTAAAATCAGGTCCAGCGTGGCTGCAGGAGGGTCTGGAGATTTCCTGGTGGGCCACTCTGATGTGTGGGCTGCAGGGCCAGCGCCCCTTGTTTTGTTTTTTTTGTTTTGTTTTGTTTTTTAAGAACTTTTTATTAACAACATATAAACACAAAATACCACTGCGGCTGGGGCTGCCAGCTCTTGTTTTTTTTTTTTTTGACCTGTCAATCAATCCAGTAGGCATGTCAGCAAATGACCAATCGGTGACCTCAATTTATCCCGACGGTAAACGCCCCTTGTCTGTGGAGCTGACTGCAGCCGCTCAGGGTGAATGCTAGAGCATGAAATCTCAACCCTCTGCGTACAGTGCGCAGTTTCCACGCGGCTGACAGGACACAGGAGTATACTGGGGGCTTTAGACTGATAGGGGGCGGGGGGTCCAGACCCACCCAACCCCACAAGATTTCTACCCAAGCCTCCTGGTGTTAAGGGCTGAGAGGAATACACAGAACATCTATCAGAGTTGCCGTGAATTCTTGGAGCAGGTAGAAATGTTGGCATTTAGCAGTCATGTGTTCTGCCAGTTGGAAACAATGAATAGGGAATTGTAACATTGACTCTGTTTATGCACAACATACTATTATTATTGCTGTCCACACATACAGTACCAACTTAAATCTTACTGTAGCTGTCAACCTTCCTGTCTGCACTGAAATATATTAGATTATTCAGGTGGGTTACAGAGTGAAAATCAGACATTATGAAATCAAGTTTCAGTGACAAAAAACAACAATCGGTCATTTCATGCAGAGTGTATCTTGGCCTTAAATAATCAAGGCAGATGGCTTGCCAGTTGAGGCAGGTGGCTGCCTACCCTGAGCCTGGTTCTGCTGGACATTTCTTCAAGTTAAAAGGGCGTTTCCATCTTTCCACCGGCACCAGAGTGCTGCTCAGGATCGGGGAATGTAACAAATGTAGCACTTGGACGACCTGTTGTTTGTGACTAAATCTTTTGGACAATCACATTGCATTGCTTTATATTTTGTACCTTAACATGTCTGTATCAGTCAGGGGTTAATAATTATTGTGATTTACAGGCAAGGTTTCTGTGCATTGCTCACCAAACAAGATGACAGTGACACTGGAGAAGGCTTCCATGCCTGGCATTGATGAAAACTTTCTCAAATTGAAAGACCCCTCATGCTCACTCACCTCTAATGACACACATGTCATGGGCACCATATCTTTTACCACCTGTGGCACAGAACTCCAGGTATGAAAACACACCTAAATGGACGATTTCCTCTCAGATACATATCCTTTTCACTCTGTTATTTTTCATAAAATCAGGACAGAGGTGATTACATTGCCTTCAAGAATGAGATCCATTCCTTTGAGCGTCCAGATGAGCTCATCATCCGTAGGAGAACAGTTGAGATAGATTTTGCTTGTGAGTTTCCAAAAACCATCAGCATTTCCAGCTACTACAACCTCCACCAGTCTGACTACATCTTTACCGAGTCCAGCTTTGGCAGTTTTGGCTACACCTTTGAGATCTTCATTGACAGTAACTTTATAAACAAGGTGGAAGCTAATGCCTATCCAGTGCAGGTCAAGCTGCTAGAAATGATTTATATGGGCATTCAAGCCAACTCGGACTTCCCAAATGTGACTATGTTTGTTGAATCGTGTAAAGGAACTCCTGATGACAACCCTGAGAATCCTCTGTCTTATGACCTCATTAAGAACGGGTATGTGTTGAAGTAGAAATCACAGATTTTCTTGTTACAAAAGATCTGAGAAGCTGTTGGTCATCTTGTATAACTTACTGTTTTCTAGATGTGTAAAAGATGAAACAATGAAAATCCACTCATCAGACCAGACTTCGTTTAACTTTGCAGTTCAAGCCTTCAAATTCAGTGGAGACTATGATCAGGTAACACAGAGAAAACCAGAAATTATGGTAAATGGACTGTACTTATATAGCACCTTTCTATCTGATCAAGATACTGAAAGCGCTTTACACTACAATCTATGCCCTCGTTTACCCATTCATACAACACTCTACTAGATCTCTACAAAGCTAATTGAACAAATTATTCTAAAGAGACTAATCAGAGCTTTATCTCATTCATACACCGATGGGACACACATCAAAGGCAATGAGGGGTTCAGTGTCTTGCCCAGGGACATTTTGGCATGTGACTGCTGGTGGATTCGGACCCCTAATTTTTGCATTGGAAGACGACTGCTCTAACCACTCAGCCATCCTCACAAGCATAGCCCAAAATACAGGGTTACAGAACAAAAAGAATAGGATTTGATGTTAAAATTTATTGTTCTCGTCATCATTATCGTATCATATCGTTTATCAAAATATCTGCTGACTTTTAAACCAAACCAAAACTCACCCCCTTACAGGTGTATGTCACATGTTCTGTCATCTTGTGTGAGCCTGGAAGTCCCTTTTCAAGATGTGCTCAGGGCTGCCTGAGTGATCCTTCCCGTCGACGCAGACGAGGGCTGAACAAGGAGACAACTGGACACTACATTACCCAGGGTCCGCTGCAGTTTGTTGGGTCAGCTGATCTTGGTTCAGCCAAAACCAAGGAAAATAAAAGTGTTGTAAAGCCAAAGAGTGATACGCCCACTGAAGGTAAGAAAATGAATTATGCATTTGTTTCTCCCTCTGACTGGGTAAAAATGAACTGCTCTGGTGTTTTTCAGTGAATTCTACACCAGCTTTTCCAGAAACCAGATCAAAAGAAATGAAGGAATTGAAGCAGGTCTTGGCATCCAATATCACCACAGTGGTCTTTGGTGCAGGAGTCATTGCCTCACTAGTTCTGTTGGCTCTGATTGTTTGTCACTTCAACAGACAAAAAAAAGCAGAAGACTGCAAAGTTCTCATTGATTCGGATTTTGATAACTAAACATAACTAATCTTTAATAACTGGAAATATAAATGCATCAAAGGAGACATATTACAGAGTTTTTTTTAATCAGAAGTTGAATGTTGGAAATTTGGTTTGGTCTGAAAACGTGATTAAAGTAACAAAAATCCATTACATACAGTACCTGATCTTTTTAGTTAATTTCTTTGAAGCCAATATTAGAAGCATTAGTAAAATGTTCAACTCTTGACCATTATTTTGAAGAGCAACTGACTTTAGAGAGGTTCTATACAGGGGACAAAATAAAAAACACATTACCTAAAAGTGATGGATTGTTGGATAAAATGTAAATGTTATCATTTAAAACTGTTTTTAGACCCCTCATCATTTAATTAAACTCCAGTCGTGTGAACTAAAGAATAGCCAGAGTCTTGTTCTAAGTGTTCATGTACATGTGCAGTCAGACCAAGACCTTGGGTTTTTAAACAACCATGATGTTATTCAGATATGACCTCGCTACTCCGGCTATCCCGTTTTGTAATCAAGCTGTCTGTTTAGTAATCTTTTCTGGCTCCGCTGCGTTGGAGAAAATCTGTATCTGTTTATTTTGCCTGTTGTTCACTCCTCCTGTCTCACAATAAAACACGAGCTCTCCCGTCGAACGGCGGACTTCACCTTGACGTTTGGTCAGGTCACGAACTCCCCCCTCTGCAGAGGGCTCATCAAAATTCTTACACTCTGTCTTGTGTGTGAATTCTTTGAAGGTGATACGAGGGAAAAAAATCCCTAACATGGATTAATTTATGTGTCTGTGACAAAAGGAAAATTTTAATCTCCTGCAACCCTCCCACAGATTGCTTATGTGCCCATGTGGCACAAAGATCCATCCAATTCTATTTCAATTCAGTTTATTTATATAGCACCAAATCACAACAGAAGTCATCTCAGGGCACTGTAGAGAAACATTCACATACATACAAAAGCAGATTAGTAAAAGTTTATTATCTAAGGAAGGAAGCCAGCAGACACGTTGAATCTTCACTTTGTTGCAGTCTCCCATCCTGAGCAAGCACAGTGGCAACAATGGAAAAGAAAAACTCCCTTTTAACAGGAAGAAACCTCCAGCAGAACCAGGCTCAGGACAAGTGGTCATCTGCTTCAACTGGCTAATCCTAAAATGCTCAAATCCAAAAATCACAACCTCTGTCTTGTCTGAGTTTAAAAGCAGAAAATTAAGGGTCATCAAGGCTTTTATGTCTTTAATGCCCCTTTTGCACTGCCCCTAATAAGCCCCAATTCTGGGCAGCCCGCCACAGAAAGAACCCTTTTGCACCAGCCCTTTAGCTAGTATATTTAGCTGATTTGAGGCTGATTCAGGACCTCTTTTCGTCCCTGCTTCTCTGGTGGGACCGAGCGAGCTCAGCCAAGCTGAGTCTGGACTGTAACATGAATGCAGGACTCTGATTGGTCAGGGGGAGGAGTCACTGGATCTCAGAAACTTTTCACTGATCCGCCATTTGCAATTTCTCTGGATGCAGAGCAGCGGATCTAAAAATAGATCCATCTATTTTTAAGATTTTAAAAACAATAATGACAAAGCTGTGTTTAATGCTGAAGTCCAGGCGTTTTTTGTGTTTGGTGACCGACGATAAAATTTAAGCGAGCGGAGTCACTGTTGAGGATCATACAAGCTGCCGAGCCATTGAAGCCCGCGAGGCCAGACCCCAAACCCCAGCCTCGCCTGCTCACAAAGGCTGGATTTGAGCCCTGGCAGACAGGAGGACCGGGATGGAGGGACGGAGGGTGGAAACGTTTTTTAAAAACATTTATGTATAAAAAATATGTTTTTTTAATCAGTGAAGATTAAAAATAAATAAACGGTGCCGGCTTTATCGTGAAATCCTGTTTACCCTTTGACTTTATTAAATAATCTGTTAATTAAAGTTAATTCAACTGAAAAATCATAAAAAACTAAATTATTGGATCTCAGGAATATTTCCCTCCAACATGTTTAAAGAAGAGACTCAGCACTTGGTTCAACATTATTCTAACCCACAGATTTACAAATCACAAAACAAAAATTACACTTTAAATCAAAGCTAAAAATAATCTGTATACAAGAAACAAAACCTCAATGAGTGCAAATACATCAAATGATGAAGAAAAATATAGAATTTTAAATATAGATATCCTGATGCATGCTCAATAATCCAGGTAGAAAAATCTAAAAAAGTAAAGTCTGGTCCTCTGGACATTCAAAAACAAACAAACAAAAACAAAAAAATGTAGAAATGTTTCTTCTTTCATTTGAAAGACTTCTTCAGTCTGAGGAGCTGTATTCAGCTCAGTCTTATATAAACAGCTATGAGCTGAATACAGCTCCTCAGACTGATGAAATCTTTCAGATGAAAGATGAAACATTTCTACATTTTTTTTTTGTTTGTTTTGTTTTTTGAACATCCAGAGGACCAGATTTAACTTTTTTGAATTTAAATATAAATGTTTTTGTAGAATCTGGTTCATCAGATTTAATTCAGTTCAGGTTATTTATACAGCGCCAAGTCACAACAGAAGTCGTGTCAGGGCACTGAACAGAAATATTCATATATAAAATAAGTTAATAGAAACATTCATATATAAAAAATATAACTTAATATTATTTATCTGAGGAGCAGACTGCTTTGAGTAACTCATTGCAGAACTCTCGTTAGCGGGACTTGGATTCTGGACAGGCCTCCAAAATCGGTCCTAAATTGCAGGTGCAAATCCAGGCTGAGCTGAGCCAGGCTGAGCTGAGGTGTGCAGGGCTGAGCAGAGCTGGGGCTGATTAGGGGCAGTGCAAAAGGGGCACAAGACATGGCTGTAACTTAAGTAACTAATTGGATTCATCTGGTGTCAGTGAGTAGTATCAGCATAACAATGAAAATTTATGCCATACTGTTTAATAACTTTACCTAATGGAAGCATATATATAGTAAAGAGTATTTGACCAAGCACTGAATGCTGAGGAACTCTATGACTAACTTTGGTGTATGAAGAAGATTCATTATTTACATTTACAAACTGAAATCTATCAAATAAATATAATTTAAACCATTTTAGAGCCGTTCTTGCAATCCCAATATCATATTCAAGCCTCTGTAGTAAAATATTGTGATCAACTGTATCAAATGCAGCACTGAGATCTAACAGGACCAGTATAGACACAAGTCCATTGTCTGAGGCCATGAGAATATCATTAGTAACTTTCACTAGTGCTAACAATGCTCAGTAATCCAGGTATACAATTCAACATTTTTCAGTCATGTCATCTGGACAGTTTCTTTTTTTGTGCTGAAACATTTCGCCTTCAATCCGGAAGGCTTCATCAGTCAAGGAAACACACAACACAAAACTGATTCTTCCTCCAACAGCTTACTCCAAAGTGGAACAAACCAGTTATGTTGATTTCACTAGACCTGTTTCTGTGCTATGATGAGCTCTAAACCCTGACTGAAACTGAAATCCATCCATCCATCCATCCATCCATCCATCCATCCATCCATCCATCCATCCATCCATCCATCCATCCATCCATCCATCCATCCATCCATCCATCCATCCATCCATTTGTTTTCCATTTATTTTACCTGCATTTTGTGAAGAGTGCATCAAACGTGTGCATTTTGGCAGGACACAAATCAGCACATGAGTGGCACCAAGCATAAACTTTTTCAAACAGTCTGCTGTGGCCTTCTGGATAAGTCCATGCCCATTTGTGGGCATAAATTGGCACGAGATGGGCACTGTCCATAAAAACATTATAAAGAATAGGCTCTGCTCCTCAGGTACCAGTATTGCCTGTCGGAGGGCTAGAAAGTGGTAAATGGACTGTGTCTTACCCAAGGACCCTAGGGCATGTGACTGCTGGTGGAATCAAACCACCAAACACACTAACCAATGGTCATAAGAGCTGTGAAAAAAAATATTTTGAGCCAGACCGATTTCGCCTACATGTTCAGACTCGGGGCAGTCTCGAAAGGCAGAAAATTGTCGAGCTACAGCTTTAATCTCAGGTTTTTTTTCTAACAGTTGGAAAGAGAGACCCATTCAAATTAAGTGAAACATTAAGCATTGCAAGCTAGACCAAATTGGACAATGTATTTGGACTTGGGGCAGTCTGGAAAGGCAGAAAAGTGTCAAGTGACAGCCAAAAACTCAATATTTTGTCTCTGTCCATCTGGTGGCCCATGGGCATATGGTGACACCATATGGGTGCTGCCCACACACAGACCATTCAATAATCACCAAGTATTTATGGTGCTCCTCTCAAACCGTCTGGTGCCCATTGGCCATGCCCATCTGGTACTAACTATGCCCATGGGCATATGGTGACACTAGAGGGGCATGGTTATTACATAGGTCTTTAATAATCACAAAGTATTGGCCATGCCCATCTCATACCAAGCAGTGCCCATCAGCCATGCCCATCTGGTACTAACTATGCCCATGGGTATACGGTGACACTAGAGCAGCATGGCTATTACATAGGTATTTCATAATCACAAAGCATTGGCCATGCCCGTCTTGTACCATGCATTGCCCATCAGCCATGCCCATCTGGTACTAACTATGCCCATGGGCACACAGTGATACTAGAGGGGCATGGCTATTACATAGGTCTTTCATAATCACAAAGTA